GATAATTTTAGGTACTCTTCCACCTGGGACAGGATTTACCCTAAGGTGGGGGGAGAGGTTTAGTCTTTCACTAAAACTGTGTAAATGCCTGGTTTTGTGACCATGTACAAGGCTAAAGTTAAGGGGTTGGCCAAGTGAGACAGAAGATTGATCATTCTCCATTAGAGTTGTTTAGATTGGTCTTCTTACCATTGCTCCAGCAATTTTGTTATTTCTACGGGGAATCAAGCAGCCATTCTATATTTGAATGCTTTTGTATTGGGAAACACAATGATCAAAATCTTAACCAGCATTGCAATGATAGCTGCATTTCTTTAAATAGAGCTCATTAAAATAAAATTATACTGATAGCCTTTACATTCCATTTAAGTGTTTATATAATTAAAATTTTGTTCTCATTTAAAACAGACTCATGATTCACTAGGAGATAACATTGCCTAGACAAATATTACAAAAATGTAAACAAATTTCCACTAGAATGACCACACAATAGAAAAAAAAAATTGCCTTTATTATTTTTTGTACTGATAAGTAGTTAATAATATGATATAATTAGCTAATTTAAAGTTGTTACCCATAATAGATGGAATAAATATTCTAGTTCAAATACAATAATATGTTTACACATTATAAATTATTTTAGGGCTATTGAATATAATTTTAAATTTGACTATATTATAAAATTGATGTCCCTAGAAAATATAGCTGGGTAATGGACCTTACCTAATGTCCTAATGTATGTATCTTGGTATATGTATATATCTATGTTTAAACCTATAATCTATTTATCTGATGTTTACATTATATATGTATATTAGAAGTCCAGTACATGAAGAAATTCATGCATGGGGAGGGGTGTCCCTCAGCCCAGCCTGCATCCCTCTCACAATCCAGGACTGCTGGCTCCCAACCGCTAGCCTGCCTGCCTGCCTGATTGCCCCTAACACTTCCCTGCCAGCCTTATCAATGCCTAACTGCTCTCCTACTGTCCTGATAGCCCCTAACTGCCCTCCCACGCTGGCCTGATCTCACCTGACTGCCCTCCCCTGCATGTCTAGTCCCCCCCAATTGCTCTCCCTTGCAGGCCTGGTCCCTCACAACTGCCTCTCCAGCAAGTCTGGTCCCCCCTAACTGCCCTCCCCTGCAGGCATGACCACCCAATTGCCCTCCTCTACAGACCTGATCACCCCCAACCGCCCTTTCCTGAAGGCCTGGTCACCCCTAATTGCCCTCCCCTGCTGGCCTGGTCACCCCCAACTGCCCCCCCTGCTGGTCATCTTGTGGTGGCCATCCTGTGTCCACATGGGGGTGGCCATCTTGTGTGTTGGAGTGATGATCAATTTTCATATTACCTATTTATTAGATAATATATATATATATATATATATATATATATATATATGGAATGATTACTTGCACGTTTATTATGTATGACATATTGTATATAAAATGATGTACATAGGCATCTTATTAGACACATACAATCACACTTTATGATAAAGATTAAATTGAGTCAGAAATACAAAGTGTCTCAATAGACATTATTTTTTTTCATTATACATTGTTACTTTCAGTGCTACAAAGCTACTTTTTAATATTTTTTATGCCTTACACTATAATTTTGTTCATACTATCTAAAATAGAGAATTAAAGCTACCATAGTGGCAATCAAGGTAAGATGTGTGATGTATATCATAAATCATATATTCAGTTTATCCAGTCAAGTCTTATCTCATGTAATCAAATAGTTACTAAATCAAGTGTTCTGGATAAAGATCTTTGCTAGAGCTCTTGATAATAGAAAAGTAGGAGGAACAAGCAGAAACCAATTTATGAGAATGTTACTATGTGTGAGTACCGTGGTTTGTCTAGTGCTCCTTGGTGCTTAGCAGTCAGTGGAGACCATAAAAAGAGTTCTTGATTCTTTAAACTTATTTTCTCGGAATTAAAAAATGTGTTTCATCTTCTAGACTGACTTAATCCCAGGAAAATACTATTATCAAACATTTATACATAATATAAATTTCATTGGATATGAATATGTAGTTGATCTATACCCAGGGGTTTTGCACATGAATTTATCTTGCAAACCGTACAATAAAAAAGCATATTTCCACTGAGTAAATGTCAAGTGTCAGTGAGCTGTTGGTGAGATATTTGAGAGGACGATGCTCTTTTTCATAGTACTTATTATTAATAAGTCAATCCCTGGAAGTTATCACTTTGCAAATTCATACTGCTAATACTTAAAAACATACTTTTACAGAACACTTCTGTTTTCAAACTCTGGTTACAAGAACAATAGTCATCAAGATAAAGGTGATAACTATTTTCTAGTTTGTTATGTATGTAAAATATTATCTTCAAATATTTTTGGAACTCTATGCTTCCCATCTCAAGTTCTGTGCATAACTTGCCCTTCAGTCTAATACCCATGTCACGGTGAAATTTGAATTTTGGGGAAATATATTCATTTGGGTTAAGCAAATGTCAACATAAATACCTAGGGCAAAATATAACCATTAATGGCTCACAGTCATCCTATAGTAATGGTATGATCCTCCTGACTTTTAGGCCCTTAATCCTCTGGAACATTTTCACTATGTCAGAAGCAATTGTAAAAAAGCATTAAGGGCTGGTGCATTTTACTCTGTAGGGTGTTTGGAAATATACTTAGAGACTCCAGTGGTGTTTGAAAATTAAGAATTAGGTATAGAAGAATTACTAATAAATAAGCTTACTACAAAATTTGGAACATATGGTAATACTGTTAGACATTGACATGCTGACATAAAAGGAAGGGACAGAACAGTCTATACAAATGTTAGGAAAACTCCAAATGCTTAGCCGTCTGACAACTTTTAATTTAGAGAATAATTTAATTTTTAATTGGAAATTAATTTTTCATTGTAAAGCAGATGTCCCCAGACCTCACAATTCCTGATGTTATAAATGGTTCATAAACATCTAGATCTGGATTTCACTAGCTTAATACCCAATTTCCCCCTAAACACACACACACACACACACACCATCCCTGTAAAACATTCTCATGACTTTCCTCATTTAGGATAGATATTTCCAGTTACTCAAATTAACTTAGTTTGATGTTCCTCCTTAGGCCATTGCTCACATGACTATTCTCTTTCCTAGGTCCCCATTTACTGCTCCTTTTCAGCTTCTAGTAGCACCATGTTCTACAGAGATTCCCTTCTCAATGCTCATCTCAGTCTGTTTCTCACCCTACTGCTGCTTTTCCATAGGCCACAGAGCAAGTCCGCCACTGGTCATGCCACCATATGTCACTCCACAGATCATTGTGTCCTTATGCCCATTGCTTCCATTCTTTCCCAGATTACTGCTGTATGCCTTTCTTCCTCTCAGTGGGTAAAGAAGGGAAATTCCCTTGTCTGTGGTCTCTTATAGGAATCCCAAGCCTTGTCATCTGGATTCTGAGTTATGTCACAGACCACTCTGCTAATTTGTTCTTCCTTAGAAGTCACTGAAAACCATCATCTGTAAATGGAACCTAATTCACTCCCAGCTAGCTCTCAGTGTGTTGCTTAGTTTGACTCATCATCCAATTTTATAATAATTCTTTGGGCACATTGCTCTGCAATGTGATTTTTATTTTTGCCCTCATTATTACCAACCAGCTGAAGTTTATTAAGCATTCATGGGTACTACTGAGACTTACACATTGATAATTAATGAGCTATTTCCTACTCAGATAATTTCCAAACAAAATAAGATATTTATTATGTTTGGTGTTAGGAAGGAAGTGTACATAAACTAATATTTCATATATCCAAACCTCAATTTTGGCTCCCAGTCCACCATCCATTTATTTAATAATTGAATTACAGTATACATGCAGAGCCGTATCAGAATTGTTAACCCATACTCCTGTGGATTATTATCTCAAATACATTGCCTATCTACACTTCCTTCTGTCTTTAGTCTGGCAGACTCCACTCATTTCTAAAGTTAGTTAGGTCACACCTCCCACCCACTTCGGTGAGATAGTTTTTAATATTTGTAAAACTTTCAGATTATTTTGTCATCTTCTACATTCTATTCTGGGATCTGCAACCTTTTAAATCACTTTTTAAAAACATACATGCCTTAGATATAGTCTTTATGCTCTGTACAGTTCTGTGGATTTTGACAAACATTTAATATCTTGTGTTCATTATTATAGTATCCTTTCATTGCCTTAAACAATTCCCATTTGTTTCACTTATTTAATCATTTATCCCTTTTCTTTCCTGGCAATCACTGATATGGTTTCTGATTAGTTTTGCAGCTTTCTGAAGTCATATAATTAGAATTGCATAGTATACAGGTTTTTAAGATTGGCTTCTTTAACATAGCAACATGCATTTAAGCCTATTCATACCTACTCATAATGGAAGAACTTGTTTCTTTTTTTCATCACCTAATAATATTCCATAGTATATCTGTCCCACAGTTTATCTATTTGCTTAAAGAATATCTTATTTGCTTCCTGTTTTTAGTGATTATGAAAACACCATTATAAACATTAATGTGTAGCTGTTTTAAGCAGTCATACATTTCCAATTCAGTTGGGTAAATTCTTAGTAGTGAGATTGCTGGGTTAAATGGTAAGATTATATTTACTTTTATATGAAATTTCCAAATGGTCTTCTAAAGTGGTTGACTCTTATTTCATTCCCATTAATATTAATGAGAATCCTTATTGATCCGTGTTTTTGCCAGCAATTGGAATTGTCAGAATTTTTTAATGTTTTTCATTCTAATAAGTATGTAGTGGTACCTTCATAGTTGTTTTAATTTGCAAGGTGTTGATATATGATGTTGAATATATTTTTATATGCTTAATATTCCTCACTATATCATTAGCTCATTGTGTTGAAAAAATAGTAGAGACTAATATTTTCTGAAACACTCATTGGGAAATGTGGCCCTAGTTAATTATGAAAATTTAGAAATGATCTTAGGATACCTTATTTTTTAAAAGTATGTTTTTATTGATTTCAGAGAGGAAGGGAGAGGGAGAGAGAGAGAGAGCAACATCAATGATGACAGATAATCATTGTTTGGCAGCCTTCTGCATACCACCTACTGTGGACTGAGCCTGCAACCTGGGCATGTGCCCTTGACTGGAATTGAACCTAGGACCCTTTAGTCTGTAGGCTGATGCTCTATCCACTGATCCAAACCAGCTAGGACAGTATATCTCCTTATTAAATTGGGAGATAAAATAATGTTTCAAAAAATAATTGACAAACTATTGAAACAAAAATATTTCAGTGACTATTTTTTTTGTGATTTTCTTTAATTTTGTTGATGATGGTTAGTAGTAGATCTTTTAAAATAGTATTTTGGGAGTAAAAATCTTATAATCATGTCATATATGCAAGGAATAATATCTATCTATCTATCTATCTATCTATAGTTATAGATAGATAGATAGATAGATAGATAGATAGATATATAGATATATAGATATATAGATATATAGATATATAGATATATAGATATATAGATATATAGATATATAGATATATAGATATAGATATATAGATATAGATATATAGATATATAGATATATAGATATATAGATATATAGATATATAGATATATAGATATATAGATATATAGATATATAGATATATAGATATATAGATATATAGATATATAGATATATAGATATATAGATATATAGATATATAGATATATAGATATATAGATATATAGATAAAAGGTTAAGCAACCGACCCACCTTCTGACTGGTAGCTATGACATGCAATGACCATCAGGGGATAGATGTTCCAACCAGTAACTATGATGTGCACTGACCACCAGGGGGCAGATGTTCAAAGCAAGAGCTGTCCAGCTTCAGTGACTTGGCACTGTAGGTTCTTGGATTCTCATGTGTCCTGATCTGGAATTGAACCATGACTTTCTGGTTCATAGGTCAATGTCAACTACTAAGCAATATTGGCTGGACCATACACTTTATTTTTTAATTTGCTTTTATTAGGAAATTAGGACATTATCAAATTGCTTCAGTTCACCTCTTTAAATAATAGGATTGATAGCAGCAAAATCAGTAACAAAAACAAAACAAAACAAAAACACCAAATAGATATTATGAAGAGGTGAGTAGTTTTGCAGTTTAGTATAATAATACAAATAAAACATTTTCAGCTTCTTTTATATCTTTGTTTTCTATTATCTTTCCTAGGAAATCACCACCACTGTCATCATCATCATCATCATCATCATTGTGGTCACAGCTCCCTATTCTGGGTACATACTTCCTCTACATCATCTCTATCACTCCCAATAACTTGTTATGAAGATGGTATTATTTTTATTTACTAAAGAGGAAACTTTAGTGAAGTGAACAGAGGTTAAATAAGTTGCCCATATTTACATAGCTGGTAAGAGGAAGAGTCAGAATTTTAACCTAGATGTTGATATCACAGCACCTGCTCTCTCATGCTATTCATATTATACCACAACACACAAATATGGTTTTGAGTCACCCTACATAATAAAAGGCTAATATGCAAATCAACCCAACAATAGCATGACCAGTCAATATGATGCTCACTGTCCAGCAGGAGGCAGATGCTCAAAGCAGGAGTTTCCCTCTGGTGGCCAGTGCACTCCCACAGGAGAAGTGCTGCTCAGCCAGAAGTCGGGCTCACAGCTGGTGAGCGCAACAGCAGTGACAGGAACCTCTCCCGCCTCTATGGCAGCACTAAGGATGCCCAAGCTGTCAGTTAGACATCCCCTAAGGCAGGGGTCCTCAAACTTTTTAAAGTGGGGGCCAGATCACGGTCCCTCAGAGAGCTGGAGGGCCGGACTATATGAACTACTAATTCCTACTGTAACACCTCGGCTGCGCTCACTGCCCAAAAAACCTGGCGGGCCGGATCAGACTCCTCTGCGGGCCACATGTGGCCCGCGGGCTGTAGTTTGAAGACGCCTGCAAGGGCTTCCAGGCTGTGAGACGACACAGGCCAGGCTGAGGGACCCCCCCCCCCCCGCAAGTGCACAAATTCTGTGCACCAGGCCTCTAGTGATGTTATAAAAGAGTTTCCATTTTCTCTAGCTCGAGCTTCTTTTTATTTCATAGACATGGAAGCTGCAGTCCACAGAAGGTCAACCTCTTCCTCAGTGTTGTGTAGTTGATTTAGGAGAATCTCTGCTTGGGAGGTCACTCTTATGAATACAGAATGGTCAGATTGCTTCCTTTTTAAAACCAGTAAGAGTGCAATTATAAAGAAAGGCTATGAAGCATAAAAATATCTCTACAAGTGTATATATCTATAGCTTTTGACCTTAGCTTGATCTTGGCTCAAGTTCATTTATATTAAAGAAAGATTTGGTGAATTTTCAAGTATCTAATTCAGCTCTATTCTCAGTTTGTCCACTCTGATTTGTCAAAATCAACACTAGGATATTTAGAAATATTGCAGACACTAAGGAAATTATCTCTTACTTTTTTTTTCTTTTGTCTTTTATTTTACTCACTACCATTATTTCATATTAGAGTCCCAGTGCACAAAATTCATGCACTCAAGGGGGTCCCTCATCCAAGCCTGTGCCCTCTCACAATCCAGGAGCCTTCAGGGGGATGTCTGATTGCTGGCTTAGGCCCCCCCCCCCCCCCCCCCCCGCCCCTCTGTGCTCACCAGCTCTGAGCCCAGCTACTGTCTGAGCTTCACATCCTCCGTGGGAGCACACTAACCACCAGGGGGCAGCTCCTGCATTGAGCATCTGTTCCCTGGTGATCAGTGCATGTCATAGCAAATGGTCATTCTGCCATTTGGTTGATTTGGATGTTAGACTTTTATTATATATCATGTGTAGCATTATTCTTCATTCGTTTTAAGAATAGTAAAAAGGGCAATATAACTCTTTATTCCCCCATAACTTAATATTCCCCCTAATGATAATATGTGTGAAAAGATATTTGCTTTATGAATTTAAATATTTGACTTTTTACACTGCAATTTTGCATCTATGTTATGGGATTGCTTCATTGACTCATATATATCTTTCAAAAGTAGCCAATGAGGATGGATATAAGTATTTTAAACAACTTAATAGAAAAATTATCATATTTATAGAGAGCAATAGATATTTTGGTTTATCTCATGGCAAATATAGAAAACATGACAGTATTCTTGTCATTCAAACCTTGAGTGGAAAGAAAAAAAAAAAGTAATGCCTGTCAAAATTAAAAAATCCCAATAAAGCTTACAATAGCAGAGTTAAGCTACAGTATAGAAATTTTAGGAATCTTGGAAAAGCAGTATACATGAATATGTTATTCATATTAACAAATATAATTCATTTACATTCATACATTTCCCCTCTTCTCTACTTTTCCCCTCAGCATACACACAAAGATTTTACTGGAAAACATTACAGAATCTGAGGTGTCCCTGTAAAATGAGAAAGTGATTGGCTTCCCACAATTGCCACTTATAGTAATAAGAAGAGAAAAGAAACCAACAGAGATTGGATGAAATCAATTAATGCTGGACAGTAGCTATGTTAGAAATGTCCTGAACACAATAGTTCTCAAAAAGTAGAATGTACACTGCATTTCCAGTTCTTTGTTGTCTAAGATTCTATCTTTGAATGTTTTCAAATGTCTCAGCAAATCCTGAGATTCCTCTGTCTTAAAAGTGGCAGAAAAGATTCTCCCCTGATCCAGATCTATGGACAAAAGCTTGTCAATGTTTTTTACTCTTAAATTGAGCTGCTTTCCTTGTTTTTATACCCAAAACAATTGTCAATGAAGAAATCAAAACTTTTCCTTATCCATCTTGGACACTGAAAAGCAGAACTTTTTTCTCTTATATGCATATGACAGAACAATGGACAAAAGGAGCTCTTATGACATAGTACAAGATACAGAGACAGAAACATATTTTGTATTTGTTTATTTCTTGATAGTAAATCATCTTGTGGGAATGGAATAGCCCTGCCATTTTACTTTTGCTAATGAGAGTAACCAAGTTCATATGTTCCCAGATGAAAGAAACATCAATACACGATTAATGTCCAGAAAGGTCCTCCCTCAACATACTGTTGAAGGATCCTTGGAAGTGACCTTAAGGATAATGAATGCTGAGCATCACAGATCTAATAGATAGCAGTGATGTGATCCTAAACTGAGCATGTAAGTCTCAACCAGGCCTCTTGTTGCTCTGCTGTGATCCCTTCCAGTTGATCTGTTGTATTAACATAGTTGAAAATAGTACTGCCAAAGGCTAAGAAAGTATAATTTTAAATGTGTGTAATTATTTAATGGTGCAGATCTATATTGGCTCTAGTTTATTTTTATATAGTACAGCATTTGTTTTTTGTTTTTTTTTACTTTAATTTAGTAATGTAATTACTGGACACAAAGTGAAATTTATTCTGCAAGAAGAATTTAATCACTCTGTGTACAAATAATTAAAACTACCTACAAAGCAATATTTATACACATTTTCATGATAGAGATATAAATCCTGAGATATTCAATGATGACTTTTGACGTAGGTAAACACACAGTGCCATTATTGTTTCAATGATTATTTAACTAAATAAAATTGTCTCAACCAGTCTCTTTCGACTCTGGAAGAGGCACAGTATCATTAAGTTTTAGATGTTAATTTGTCCAAAATAGCATTATCTATGCAAAGATGCATTTCTTTTATCTGGATTGTCCATGGTGCTAGATCATACAAGCCCTTCTATGTCAGTTATTTATTGATTAATTGATTTTTGTCTCCCAGCTCCTATTCTGGTATTCAGTGCTTTCCTCTGCTTTGCTAGGGGACTGAAAGCCTGCAACTATTTCTGTAAATTCCCAGGGACAGACTTTCAGGTCAGTGTCCCAGGAAACAGCTCTCACAATGGGAGTACTGGCAAGGGTATGGAAGGGGAACCATTTTCTTTGCTTCTCCTGCTGCCTACATGGTGCCTGTAACAGTGGCATCAGTAGTGGCAGTGGTAGTGTCAACAGTATCAGTGGGAGAGGGGCACCTGGGTCACCATGAAGCAGCATTGGTTGTAGATGAGGCGGAGGCAGCAGCACCCTCAGGCAGCTGAGGCACATGTGAACTTACAGGCACCTACATGCAACTCTAACACCCTCACA